CGATTTTCGGTCACTTACAGAATGAGCGACCGACGCTGTTGCCAGACGGGCAGCTCAGTATCGACGCAAACCCTTGGGCAAAACAGTTTCATCGCAGTCTGTACCTCTACGATGGGGGTGAGTGGGACCGAGAGTTTTTTTTTCGAGGCTTGGGAAGCGGCTGGCTTCTCATGGAAGACCCGATTCGACCCCAACTCCGACTCGTTCCACGAATTCTCTCGCATCGACCCCTCGATCTTAAGAGCAGCAGCGTTCGCAACTTATGATGAATGGCGCACGCTTTCCACGAGTACATTGCCCCGAAGCCAAGAGCGAACACGCATGCACATGCAAGATCACGGACCCGGAGGGAAACTCATGTGGCCTCCAGCTCGACACCTACAGGGCTCTGATGGGACATCAGACAAACGGACACAAGATGAAGTACATATTGCATATTGGCGCTATATCTAACCAATGTCCTAGCTGCATGAGTACATTCAAAGACGTACATAATGCTCGCAAGCATTTGAAACATTCTTGAAACATTCTTATGGGCATGGCAGATGTATCGTGGGTAGAGCTCACATGTCTTGGGGACCAGAGCAGAAGAATGAGTGGACATGCCCTGTGTGCCCGACGTCCGTTGACTTCCAATCGAGCATAGAGTATTTTCGGCACCTCCAAGGCGAGCGTCTACCTCGACCCCATCCCGTCACTATCTCATCATGCCTGGCGTCCTGGCGGCGTCGAGCGGGGGAGCAGCAGCCACTGGCGGCGACGGTGGACAGGGGCAACGCGACGAACGGAAGAAGATGCGGACCGAGGGCGGCGCGAAGGAGGACTCGCAGAAGATGGCAGCCGAGATCCCCGACAAGCTGCAGAAGCTCTTCGCACTCATGCTCAAGCAGACCCCCAGGCTCAGCCAGCAGTGCCGCGACATGTCAGGAGTCACCTTCGACACCCTCATCGTCCCAATGTCGGCCGCATTCATTGCGATGATGAGCGAACAGACCGTCGCTTACGCCAACGAAACCAAGGCCAAGGGCAATGAGCGCACACTCGGGCCCCCGCGCATCCACGCGACGGGCGGACTCATCAAAGGGCTCCTCACTTACGGTGACAGTCTCGGAGCCCAGAACCACACCGACCTACAGACGGCGTGGGCGGAATACGACGGGTACTCAGTCGAACAGAAGTGCGAGCTCATTCTATTCTGCCGCCAGGACAAGGTCTACCAGAAGGAGCGTCGCAGGAGCACCTTTGCAACCGGGGACGTGAAGTTTCGGACCACCCTCATGGCGCGCTTCGCTCAGGTGCCCCAGACGCAGAGGAAGTTCGGACGAGCCCCAGCATCATTCATGGAGCGCAAGATCCAGACCTTCCTGGAGGCTCTGCTGAAATAGGCGCCCCCTTCGGTCAGCATCGTGGCGAAAGGCAGATTCTGGGATCCGTCGGTGACGGTGACCTGCGTGCTGAGGGGGCGCCTCCCCCCCTCGAACAGCATCGTGGCGCAGGCCAGATTCTGGGATCCGTCGGCGACGGTGACCTGCGTGCTGCCAAGACGGGGGGACTGTGCCAAGAAGGCATCAGCACCTACTGAAGCTGATCAAGTACGAGCGACCTTCAATATACCAGAGATCGGTGTTCGTTCTCATGTTCCAGTTCCCGAAGGCCGCTCTGATGAGATTATACTGGAAATACCCGATATACGCCAAGACATGCTGAACACCCCATCGAGACCTACCAGGGCAAGCTCTACTACCTCTTCCTGTAGGCCCGTGCGCTCCGCCCACTTCTGGACCCAGGTTTCGGAGTCCTCCGCCCCCTCCCCCCGCTCCTCCTCGAACCGAAAAGCAGATAGTTACTGAATGGTTGGCCTGAGAGGGATCTACCCAGGGTCTCAGAGGTTTGCCAGTTTTGCCAGCAGTAGGAACACCCTTGACATTGCTAAGAGAGCAAGCGGTCAACCCTGAATATCGCCCGCATCAGACTCCTGTGGCTACCTTATGCGTCGGTGGCTGCAGGGGCCAGGACGGCCCCGTGCGGGGCCACGTCCGCGGCCCTGGTGCGTAGAGCTTCGGCATAGGCACTCACTCCAAAGGGAAGGTTCACCGCGCCACACTGCCTCCAGTCAGTCTTGTATGTTCAGGGCCCACTGCTGCGCGCTTTTGTAACTAAGTGAGTACAGCACTCACTGGACACTCAGACAACATCCCCCCCTCCCCTCCCCCCTCTCCTCCTCCTCCTCCTCCTCCTCCCCCCTCCTCCCTCCTCCTTCCTCCTCCTCCTCCTCCTCCTCCTCCTCCTCCTCCTCCTCCTCCTCCTCCTCCTCCTCCTCCTCGGGTCGCCTGCGGCCCCAGGGGAAACCGTCCAGGGCGCCCCCCTCGCGCACTCTCCCAGTGCTTCCCAGCGCAGGGGGGGGCCGAGCTGGCAGGGGGGGCCGCCCGGCGGCGGGGGCCCCGGAGCCAGATGCACTCCTCGCCCGCGCTGCATAACGCAGCTGGCGGGCCCCAGAGATCCCCGATCGGGCATATCGGGGGCGGAAAAGAGGGGGGTGGTGACTAGGGTGGGGTAGATATCATGGCGGGGGGCATGATCTTTCCCCAGATTCCACGGCGCCTCTTCTTACTTCATTGCGTCCCTGGCCCCCTCTGCTGGGCCGCGCACATGCTGCGGGTCATGATTTGCACCCCCCCCCCTTTTAGACCGCCCTCTTGACCGCTCCCGAGTATAGCCAGGACCCCTGGCAAGGGGGCCCAGTTCGTAGTAGGACCCCGGAACCCCTCAATGGGCCAGAGTCACTAAACCAGGTTTGCCGTAGCTGTTTCTTGTTCGGGTGACGGCAGTTCCACTTAATGGAGCGGGGCGGGGGGGGGCGTCCCCCAGTACACACCACCACACCAGGTCCCATTAGACCCAGTTCTGCCAACGCCCGACCCGAGAGTCCATTGGCCTTAAGTCGGGCCTGTCCCTCTACAGGAGGAATGTTCCAAACTAGTCAAGCAAATCATTTCGGAACGATGCGTTCTACTATTTCTAGATATATCGGTGTATGTTTGAGCACTGTTTGAGCAGTCCTGGCTTGCCGACAGGCCCATCAAACGATGTTCCAAGAGATTTCTTGCGGTCTGCACGACATGTTCTCAGAACAGTTATGGCTGGGATTGGTTTGTTTTACACATCGGACTTATGTTCGCTGAACATTGTTTGTGTTCTTAGAACAACTTTAGGTTCTAAGAAACATTTCGTGGTAGGCCTTTCGGCATGCCGGGACGGTCGGTCCCTGCTCAATGCATGCCGCAGCCGATGGGCCCCAGAGTTCCCCGAGAGTCCACTGGCCACATCTTTAACAAGCGCCTGACATTCGAGTAAGAACAGACATAAGCATAAACTTTCGACGGTCTGCGCGGATTTCCCAAATCTGCGTTGGAGCGCCCTGGCGGCGCCTCTGTCGCCGCCCTTGGCGCGCTCCGCGCACCAGGGGGGGGTGTCCAGCGCAGATGCAAGAAATCCGCGCGGACCGTCGAAGGTTGATGTTTCTGCAGTTTGGACTTCTTCTAGACATGGGTGCGTTTTGTTTTTCCTCCTCCTGCCGCCGTATACAGTCAAGACGCTGGAACAAGAATCAGTATTGGCACGAAAGGGGCCAGATGTTCCTCCAGTAATTATGTGGTTGTTCCTTTAGCCCTCATCGTGCGCGCGCGCTCTTTCTGTGTCGAAAAGCACCTTCGTTCCTCCTTGTCTGAGCGCGCGTGCGGACTGCCTCTGCTGCGATGCGACGTACAAACAATGTGAAACGGGCGCAATTGGCATACAATCCCACAAGGGAGACGCACGTCGTCCAGACATCACGACCACACAGAGCAAACAAGGAGCACGCAGTAAGATCGCGCACCAGGGACATGCACCGGGAGCGCACATTCAGAACACGCACCAATGATTCACATCAAAAACAAGCATGACGAACATGCGCCAATCCAAGCAACAACGTCAGACGCCGATTAAAGAAACGCATGAACTACACCAAAAACATGTTTCAACAAAACACCAACAACACCCACCACCAACGCGAATGAACTACATGCACCAGCACCATGAAATAGACACGCACATCAACCACATACGCACATAGTGTGCATCAATCACATACACAAGTCATATACACCAACGCATAGATACCAACAGCCTTGGCCGTGATCACATACCAAGCAGCTACAGTTACAATACATGTTACCAGTACGCATGCATACTACGCATTGCACGCACGCACGCACACACATGCACACATCCAGATCAAGCGGCGCGAGCAATAATGGATTGCGCACACAAGAACAGACAAACGACAGGCACCCAACGCATACACCAAGAGCCCGCATCATGAACATGCACCACCAGTATATTTTCTCAGATCGTGCGCGAATGATTTGTCAACCATGTTAACGAAGGCTTAGCAGTCGCCCAAACCAAAACCGGGCACGAATAACTAAGACACGTGGGTAATTCCCGTCCACCACATGCATCAATTTTGCAGGCCGCACGCATACATCCACATCCGACCCCAGGAATTGTTATACAGATTTGCCGCCATTGTCTTACATCTAGGTCAGGCCATACGTCTTGAACGGACACCACAGACACACATAGATTTGTCAGTGCTGTTGCCAAATACTCGGGTTGCTTGAAAACTGGCGGGTCGGCCACTGTCCGACAGCGTTTTCGGAGTGCTGGACAGGTGTACGGTTCTCTGTTTCGTGGTAGACCTGTCGAGTTGGGACCACGGTCGTGAGAAAACAAACTGACATGTGCCACCCGCGGACGCGGTTTCCTTTGAACGGTGGCCACCCCGACGTCTAAAGGGTTGGCCGCATTGTCTTTGTCAGTCCGTGGCGTTTTCGTCGTTTGATGGAGTCATTTGGTTTGCGAGTCCTCCTCATCCCCCTTCCTCCCCCTCCTACTCCGTCTCCTCCTTCCTTGTCGTCATTCTCATCTCCCTGCCCACCTTCCTCTCCTCGCCCCAGTTTCCCTCCCGAGCAGTGGCGCCGACGTGTGATTGGATTGGCCTGGCTGGGGCCGCGAGGTTCATGAAGCAGTCCTTCGATTACTCCTGCTTCAGCCTTATCAGATCGTGCCTCCGTTCTCTTGTGGGAATGTAAGCCGCCCCGATTGCCACGTAGCAGTCGAACTTTAAGTTAATTTGAGTAGCTGGCAGGCGCCAGAGCATTGCAGCAGCAGTAATTACCCATCCGCTTGATCGCGGAGCAGCAGTAGCGTGTTGTCGCGGAACCGTGGCGGATATGCGGGCACGACGTGGTAGCGCGTGCCCCGTTAGACATGTTGCTCACGCAGTGGGACGTTTGTTTGACCGTGATCGATGTACCTTCACGCGCCTTCCCCCTTATCATGTCTACCGTCGCCAGTCGATCTACATTGCCCGATCGAACGTGCATGCCCTCCTCGGTTTGCTGTCTACCCCCGCTAGACGATCTACACAGTTCGATTAAACATGTTCATCGTCCTCGTCAGCATCAGCTCCTTCATCTGCGTGCTCTCATTCCCTGACAATTCGCTGATTGTTTCAAGTTGGACCTGCGGCTTTCTAGAGGGAAGGCAGGTACCACATCCCACTCGCGCTCGGAATTATTACGTTTCAAATTGAGCCCTTTTCGAGAGCAGTTCATCACACCACATGCTTGAAGGCGACACGAAATGCACGGCGTACGTCAGGATGCGTATCCAGCTGTCTACACTGAAGAGACGCCACCATTAAATAACATCAAGCATGTACTAGCTGCAGCTTCTTGATCTTGATCTGTGGCTGCTCTATCCGGCGCCATTCACAAATTTTGATATACTGCCAGTGATTACCCCGTTTTCGGGATGCACTGCTGCTTTTGCGCTCTGCCTTACGAGATAGCTTTGCCGCCGATCGTTGTGCAGGGCGGGGGCCGCTCGGCAGAGCTCGCAAGCTCAGCTGTTACGGTGCAGTGTGCCCCGCGAGCCCCACTACTGGCAGGGTGCGCACGCACGGGGCCCAGTCGGTGGCGGGGGCTGAATCGGGACGGTGAAACCAGCCAGGGGCTTGTGCAGCCAGGGCCAGGAGTAAGAGCTCGTCCTCCAAGCAGGTCACACTGTGAGCTCCGATGGTTGCAGATTTCATGGCGCCCACATCGCAGAGCGGATTGCGTTCGGGACACGATAGGATGGGCCCTGAGCGTCCTGGAGAACGTCGTTCCATATTTCGAGGTGAATTTCGTGCGGATTTTTGGCCAGGAATGAAGACAAAGAACATCCACGCGAAGTTCATGTCGTTTTTTCGTTCGCCGCTTCGGGGTTGGGCAGTCACAGAAATCCACGCAAACATACGCTGCAGCACGTCTGCAAGGGTGGCGCGCCGACAGATTCAGGGGGATCAAGCACATCCACGTTGGCCGGGCGACGTGCCCCGAGCATTCTTCGTCTTCGAAGTATCTTTCCGGGCATAGGCTCTGTGCGGGGCCTCGTGGCGGCAGTTGGCGTTGGCGGCGCCGAAGGGTTTTGAGGGCGCTAGACTTAAGTCGGGCCTGTCCCCCTTACAGGAGGAATATTCAAACATAGTACAACAATAGTCTGGGGACGATTTTCCTACTCATTTTGAGTATGTTTGCACATCGTATCTTGCTATTTTTCATTTTTCTTCCAAAATCGGCCTGCAGGGGGGGGGGGGGGGGCATGCCCCACCTAAGGCTAGACACTAGGATTGCTACGGCTAGTGGCAGCGGCCGACGTTGGCGACACCCAAACGCCGGTCGTTGCGGGATATCGGCCAGTCAGTGGTGCGACGGGTGTGGGAATGCCGTGCTTGTGGCACGTGGCGGCCACCAGGAACAGTGCCAGTGCGTACAAGCTGTTCGGCGCCAGCAGCAGCAGCGAGCGCTGGCGCCTCCCCAGAGCCAACGCTAGAAGGGTCTACCTTGACACGCGGGAAATGAGGTCCTCGGGTACACGTGTCCAGGACCGGGGCCCCTCCCCTGGAGCTAGTTTCTCATGCCGGGTAGCGGTTTGGCGGCATTCGGGCCCGGGAATGTTTCTGGGAGACTGAAGTCGGGGGCGGAAAAGAGGGGGGTGATGACTAGGGTGGGGTGGATATCATGGCGGGGGTCATGATATTTCCCTAGATGTCACGGCGCCTCTTCTTATTTCATGACGCCCCTGGCCCCCCCGCTGGGCCGCGCACATGTCGCCGGTCACGATTTGCACCCCCCCCTCTTGGACACCCCCTTCTTGGCCGCTCCCGATGAAGACAGTGAAACAATCGGGACTCGTTTCCCTCGGGACCTTATATCTTCATGGCGAAATAAGTGAGCAAGTGGGCTAGCGGCGGTCAGCCACCGGTGACGTCATTCAGTCCACGATTGGGGCTGGTGGGGCTGATGGATGGGGCCAGCCGAAAGCTCGTAGGGGTTGGGGTGATGCCAGCGGCGTCGTCAGTCGCGGCCAGAGAGACTTGGCAGGAGCGAGTAGCTAGAACAAGACCAGAAACGTACACCACAAACAAACACAACAAACAAACAACGTCTACATTATAGGTTCACATAACGTACATACACACGCTCGCGCGTGCTTCTTATGTTGTCTTAGTTTGAAGCCTCCAACAACCAGGAAACTGACACATATGGATCGCACCCCCCCAATGGAATCTGGCCGACCCATGGGTCTGGTTCCCCAGACCCCAGACGTCATGATTTTTTAGTGGCCTCGACTCCCAGAGGTCTAGACCGATTCTCTAGACCCGTTTTTCATCCCGAGCCGTTTCTTGACTGTCTTGGGGGCCCGGTAAAGGGCCCCCAGAAGCCGAAACTGGCGCAAACCGTCCATCGCGATTGTTATTATGACTCGAGGGGGCTAGTTCGGCCGCGCTGGGGCCGCAATTGTTCGGCCTCCCTCACCGCCTCGGTGGCCCCGGGGCTGTGCTGCGGATGTTCGACGAGGGACCCACCCACAGACCAGAAGAACCCCAAAAGGCCTCAGCCTCTCTTGGAGGCCGCCAGCCAGCCAGCCTTTCTGGGCAATCGACCCACAGATCCGACGTTCCAACAAAAATTGGAGCGGCGGGCTCCTGGCCGTTACCGGCCTCCGGGGGCCCTCGCCAGGCCTCGCGACCGTCAACAAAACGACTCAGGACGAAAAGCCAGACGCGGGGAAGTGGTCCAGACTGGGGGGAGTCGGTCCAGAAGCAGAGGATCGGGGAGCAGAAGGAAGAGGACGGAGGAGGAGCAGGAAAGGGCCGAGGAGGAGGGGGGGAGAGGAGGGGAGGAGGGGGCCAGGATTAAGTCGGGCACGTCCCTCTACAGGAGGAATCTTCAAACATAGCGGAAGCATACTCGTGGACGATGTTTCGAATCTTTTTCTAACCATTTGGGGGCATTTTGGGGGTATTGTTTTTTGGTCTAGAGTCCGCCTCTAGGGGGACACGCCCGACCTAAGGCCAGGAGGGTGAGAAGTCATGACGGCGGGGGGCAACGCCAGAGGCACCAGAGTGGAGCGCAGGTGCCCCGAGGGCAGGCGGTGCGGCAGCGCGGCGCGCGGCTCGCTGTGTGCAGCCCCCTATCCTGGGGCGGAGCTGCTGGGAGCACGCCCCCCCAGGGAGCGCTGCAGCGCACGCGGCTCTGGGAATCATTCGGCGTGCGGGTCGCCCGGGTCGCGCCGAATCGGAGGAGGGCGAGGCGTCAGGGACGGGGTGGGGAGATCATGGCGGAGAAGAACGGAGAAAGAGGGGCGAAGGGGGTGATGGCGGAGGGGGCCGGGCAGGGGAAAGGATGGAGAGGGGAAGGGGCGGGGGGGAGGGGCAGGGGAGGAGGAGGAAAAGGACGAGAAGGAGGAGGAGGAGCAGGAGGAGGGGGAGCAGCAGGAGCAGAATCAAGGAGAAGATAAGGAGGTGGTGGTGGTGGAGGAGGAGGAGGAGGAGGAGGAGGAGGAGGACAAGGAGCAGCACGACGAGGCCGAAAACGAGAACGAGGACGAGGATAATGATGAGGAGGGGGAGGCGCAAAAGGGAGGTAGGGGCATGAGGGAGAGGGACAGCTGAGGGTGATGTGCACGGAGGAGGTGGGGAGGGATGACGGGGGAGCGGTGTGGGAGTTCGAGTGCAGCAGAGAAAGTGAGATTTTAGTGGGTGGTGCCTGGGGGTTCACGGGGCCGCTCTCTCTCTATTCCTCGTTCCTGCTCTCCCGCTCCGCGGCCCCTTTGGGGCTCAGGCCTTCTTCCGGGCCACAAGGGTCCGGGGAGGCCGCGCCGACCGCGGTGCGGCATCGGGGCCACGCCGCCGGCGCGCGATCGCGCCGGGGCGCCAGCATTGTGGGCCCGCACGGCGGACCAGCCAGGGCGGCAGCGGCATGCCGAACAGCCGCCGGCGCGGCGCTCCAGGAAGGAGGAGCGTCGCGCCAGGGTCTGGGGAACAGGCGCCAGTGCGTTTACCCAGGAGGAGCAGGAGAGGGAGGAGGAGCCATCCAGGACTCCATGCTGGCAGTCCTCCCGACGTGGATCGGGCTCGCGGCAGCTGCGGGGATCGGGCGGTGGATGAACCCATCTAGCAGGGCCACGCTGGCGCTCACGCGAGCCGCGGAGGCCGAGCCCGCATCTGCCGCGCAATCCGCGGCGGACGCGGAACTGCAGGCTCTTGCTCAAAAGGCAGCGGCGAGGATCTTGGGGTGCCGAGGGCGATGCGCGATTGTCAGAGGGAGGTGCTGCGCGCCCCCAGAAGCCTTCACCCAAGCCCAACTGACCAGTTGCCGGCGAGGGACGAGGAGTGGTGGAGGCGCCACTTGCGCCTGAGCCGCCCCCGAATAAGGAGGTCGAGGAGCCCAGTGCGAGACGAGGCAGCGGGGAGGTTGAGGACGAGGACTTGGGAGGTTGGCTGGGCACGAGGAGGCGTGAGCGGGCAGCCTCTCGCGGCCATGTGTGCAGGACCACTGGAGATGACGGCGGTGACGGTATCTTCGGGTCTTTCAGTTTCGGCGATGTGCGGATAAGCTGACCAGAAGGTGAGTTCGCGAGCGCGCCTGAGCTAGCCTGGGGCGACGTGGTCTAGACCAGCGGAGGAGGCAGCGCCGTCAATTCCCTTGGCGTCGCCGCTTTCGGCACCTTCTGACCCTACGTGTACTGGTCCGCGATCGCTTGTCTCGGGATGATTATCTGGATCGGGGCAGGGTACGGACTGCAGGCGATCGCGTCGGCGGTGGTCTTGTTCGTCTGTGTTCCCCTGAGGGCTTTGGGACGAATCTTCAGTTGGCGTGCGAACTCGGAACTTCCAGCTGGCGGAGCCGCTGGGGCAAAGACCGAACTGCCCCATCTCCGAGGTCCCAGAACGAGTTCGGCGGTGGACAGCGAGGTCTACACCCAGCTGAGGTCTCGCGACTCCCTCAACCGCTCACCATTTCAGCATCAAGGTCCGCGGTGCGGCGACCTGCTTGGATTGCAGAGTTGTCAAATCTGGTGCGATGACGAAGCGGGCCGGGCGCGGCTGGCAGTGCATTGCGGCGCTGGCTTCGACGCGGCGTCGGATGAGGAGCCTGCTGGAGGATGCCGAGGATGACCGAGGATGAGGCGACCCACCTCTGCCGCGAGACCCCTGCGCACCGACGCGGGCCACCGCCGCGCGCGCGCCGCCTCGCGGATGCGCGGCGAAAAACGCGAACGCAAACCTGGAGGTGCCGATCACCCAAC